GGGGGGTGGGGAGCTGGGGAGAGATAGCAAGGGGAGAAATGCCAGATGTAGGTGATGGGGAGAAACGCAGCAAATCACACTGCCACGTGTGTACCTATGCAACAATTTTGCATGTTCTTCACATGTACCCCAAAACCTAAAATGCAATAAAATAAATAAATGGGGGAAAAAAAAATCCCATGGAACTGCTGCTAATATCTCTCCTAAGTAGTGCCTGGAGGAACATGCTTTGGAAAATGCTATTCAGATAAAAACTAGATTATTCAAATTATTCAAATATATAAACATTGCTTTCCGTCAAATTGCTTATGACCCTATTTAAAAAATAAAAACCAAAGAAACACAACTCATTGAGAAATAAAATTTTGGAATAAATTTAATATAAAGTAAAAACACAAGAATTACAGAAAAGAAGATAATATGCCAATTTTAGGAGTATATACCATGAAGATGTCATAAAGAAGGGTCTAAAATTCTAACATAAAAAACACTAAAAAATCACAGCTTTAAATATACTTACCATACAAGGGTTTACGGTGAGTACACTTTTAATAAACTGAAATAACAGGATGCTGGGCTGTTTTACTACACTCCTGAGGTCAGACTCAATTTCAGTGTTTTGAGAGCCAAATCCACTGATTACCCATAGGTGATAGCCTTCTGCACCCCAGCTCTTAGAGAGAAGAAGAGGAAGAAAAAAAGTCAGAGTAATAAATGGCTTTTGTAGCCCTTCCTAGTTTCAATTATCCAAATTCTGAAATAGCCAATGACAGCATTATTAATGCAGGTTGGAGAAACTGTGATAACACAGACAAGAATCACACCTTCAAATACCTCTTAACTAACTCCAGAAGAAACCACCATTACTGCTGTCTATCTACAAAAGCGAAAACATTACCTACCATTCTTAATGCCAATTTTAGGATCTCAATCCTACAATTACCTACTATGCTCTGTAACTTCTCCATTACTTTTAATTTAGCTGCCTCTCAAATACAAAGAAATTCCTTATAGAAGACACTCCAGGTTACCTAGCAGAGGCCTGGCAAAGAGGCCCATACAACATGCAGTTTTGTATGGAGCAAAGAACATTGGATAGGAAGCTGTGAGACTAGAGTTTTCATTATAGCTTAGCTTTTTATTGTATTACATTGGCCAAGCCAGGGTATGTTTCTTCCTCTGTAAAATGAGGAGGTTCAAATAAATTCCTCCAGGGCCACTCAGTTTTAATATTCTGTAATTAGATTCCATGATAGTATTTTTAAAGATTAGTGATTCTCAATCTTCAAACCAAGAAAACAGTAAAGGGGCAAAAGGGGTACCTCATGAATTGTTGCAAAATTTCAAAAGTTTAATAGGACTTTCATGTTTTCCTATGATAAAGGCATACAAGTTTTAACTAAAATGCTGAGATTCTTAGATTGTGGTTGAAGTATCAACTTAGCGAAATGGAAAACACTGGCTGTTTCATGCCATTCAGAAGCACTGATTGGCATTTACAGAAATGTATGGCTGAAAACTTAAATTATGGATGTGGGAAAAGACATCAAAAGAGGTCCTTGGTGGTGGAAGGTTGGAAACCACTATTAGGCAACCATGGTAGCTTTAATTCTACAAGAAACCCAAGATTAGAAAAATGTCTTCCTCTGTGGAGCAAGAAAGAAGGGAAGTGAGAAGTCTCACTGTCACTAATTTAAAAAGGATGGTAAGCAGAAGGGCTATGAGCAAGAAAAAGTTGTTATGTAAAGACAGGGGTTATATCTCTTCGTTTTCTAAAGAAACTCTTGAAAATAGGTATACAAAAATGCAGGTTGAGCCTCCCTAATCCAAAAATCTGAAATGCCCCAATTGCTGAAACTTTTTGAGGGCTGATATGACACCACAGTAAAAAATTCCACACCTGACTTCATCTGATGAGATGCAGTTAAAATTTTTTATGCACAAAATTATTAAAAATACATTACCTCAGTCTAAGTGTGTAGGATACATATAAAACGTAAGTGAATTTTGTGTTTAGACTTGAGTCTCATCCTCAAGAATGTATATGCAAATATTCCAAAATCCAAAAAGTTCCAAAATCTGGTTCCAAGCATTTTGGTTAAGGGATATTCAACCTGTATTGTTTACAACAGTGACTATAATTCTCTTGACATATATCTATGGGAGTTTTAAAAAATATGCCCAAGGCACTGTGCTATACTGCAACTAACAAAGTGTGTGTGTGTGTGTGTGTGTGTGTGTGTGTGTGCGTGCGCTCAAGTAATGCACAACAAATCCTCCAGGAAAAATGTGTGTGTATGTATGTATATATATGTGCACTCAAGTAATGCACAACATATCCTCCAGGAAAAATGCCCAACGATCATTTCACCTCATGTTAAAAGCAAGCAGGCCATGAGAAGACACATACAAAAAAGGCCTCATCTGAACAGTCATTATCATTATAAGATGATAGGCGTTTGGTGGATATATCGAAACAAAACGCAAATACTGAAAACCAGGCAGCCTTCCAATCAAAAAAAGGGACGACTTTCATCAAGCAAGAACTATTGAGGAGGAGGCCACTGAGACTAAAACAGTTTTGTGATTTCATCAGATCAACATGAGTGAAAAAACGGCCAGCCTGGGCAACAGGGCGAGACCCTGTCTTTACTAAAAATAAATAGCTGGGTGTTGGTAGTGGCATGCCTATAGTCTCAGCTACTTGGGAGGTTGAGGCAGTAGGATTGCTAGTGAGCCTGGGAGATAGAGGCTGCAGTGAGCTTTGATCTGCCACTGCTCTCCAGTCTGGGTGACAGAGCAAGACCCTGTCTCAAGAAATAAATTAATAAACATGAGTAAAAACAGGGAAGAAAAAAATCCAGGTTTTTTTTATACGATGCCAATTTTTTATAGAAAATACTTACCATGGAGTTGATCTTAAGGGGCTCCTTTTTGGTGCCATCAGACCTATAACTGAAACAGAAGAGAAACTATAATACAGCCTTCCAATTATACATAATGCACATAAAATTTAGTGTTGGTTTTCTTAAAAAAATCAAAATGATTTTGCTCCTTCAAAATAGAAATACATAACAATTTATGAAATACAACACTGTGGGTTAATACACCTAGGTGTATGTATCTCTTACCCACATTTTCCCAGGTCCAAGTGACTTCTTGCCAGAGTCATGCAGCTTAAGGTGTGCTCATTTAATCAGGACTGAAGTTCAGGGTAGTATACGAAGTGGGAAGAGATACTAACCTACTTCTATCAACCACTGGGCTAACCTACATTAACCCAGTGAGAGAACGTAACTTTCTACTATTTATGTACATGTCTTACCACCCTCATTAAATTATAAACTACCTAAAAGCAGAACCATGTCTGATTCTGCTTTGTGTCTGACATGCTGTTATATATGCAACAGGGATTCAATAAATACATTTTTATGGAATGAGATGCATGTTTTTCAAAAAATGAATGTTCAGAGAATGAATATATTCTGAATAGATTACGAACTTTACTGTTTAAAAGAATTGAGGCAAAATGGAAGTTTTGACACAAGGTTTTGGTATGCATGCACTGTGAAAAATAATGGAGTTATTTTATCTAAAAATTGCATTTTTTGACTTACGCAAAATCTCCTCCAAGTGTACAAATCAGCTGTGCTCCAAACACACTCCATAAAGAAAGGCCTCCATATTCCCAGGTAACTATTACAACACTATTGTCAGGAGACCACCTCATCAATTTAACAGCTCCTGTTTTATTCCAAATGTCTGTTAGGAAATAGTAAGAAGAGTTAAAAATAAATAGTTGCTTCAGAAATTCAAAAATAGTTTTGTTTTTTTTTTAACAGTTGATATTTTCAAATCTAAAGGAGCAGAAAGGCATGACTGCTTCAAAAAATGAAATAAATCCTGCTTATTTAGGACTACTTAAAATTAGCAAGGCCATTAGTTTTGTCCTGATCTATGCAGAACAAACTCAGTGCACAGGCGATTTTTAAGAAGTGAAAGCTGTTTCTAGCCACTGTTGGCTTGAATAACTTATAAATGTGTAATCTTAAGCATCCTTGGCTTTGTATAAATCAGTTTCTGTAAAACAGGGATAAGGTTTACAGTAAAAACTGTCCTTAGGGGAAAAAAAAAAAAAGCTGGCCTTTAAAAAGGCTACATAGTAAGAATGATTAAAAAAAAACTTAAGGAGCAAATTTCCATTTCTGGAAGTACAGCAATTGATATCCTCAATGACTTCCACACTGAAAAAACTAAGATGTTGAATAGAATACTTAAATCCTCAAAACAACCAAAAATACTGAGACAAAGTGCTTGCTCCCTGAATTTTTCTGTCAAATCCTCTCCAGGACGTTGACTTCTCCCTCTGATGACTCATGTTAGGAACAGGAGATGAAACTCAGAGTTTGGCCAAGGCAGGTAATCTAACAAAAGATACTCATATAAACCTGGGACTACAATGGACTACACCCATGATGAATGAGAAAAAAAAAAACTCTGCCATGCAGAAGGAAAAAATTAGCAAGGAACATTTCCATGTTTCATCAGTGGAACTGAATGGAAAATAATGTTCGTTTGATCATCTAAAGCCACAAATGCTCTCTGTGATTTGTAATTTTGTGCAATTTAATGAGGTTCAAAGAAATCACAGAGAATACAAAGCAATGGGTTCCAGATTGATGTAGTGCTCCCAAGCGACCAGTCAAAGCAAAGACGAATCCTCTCTGGAAAAACTCAAATGTAATTCAGTTCTTCAAGCACTACACAAAAAATATGCTTCAAAGAAAATAATTGGCTCTCAGTCAAAAATCCTAAAATACATAAACAAATGAGCAAAAACCCAAAGAATCAAGACAAGGCAGAAACAGTCTCAGAACGGCTTCAGATTTTGGGATTAACAAACATAGAACATAAAATAACTATGCTTTTTATAGTCAACGAAATAAAAGAGAAAACCGACAAGGAGCAGGATGCATACAGATCGGAAAAAGAGCTAAATAAGACTTTAAATAATAAAACATACAATACCCGAAATTAAAAACTTGATGGACAGATCAAACAACATATTAGACATAACTGAACAGAATTAGCAAACCCAGATGGAGAAAAAAAATTCTAGAATGCAGTCTAGAGAAATAAAATTAAAAAAATTTTAAAGTCAGGTTAAGAAATACGGAAAAAAGTAAAATGTATCAGAGTTCCAGATAAAGAGATTAGGGTAGAGGCAGTATTTAGAAAGACTGGTTGAGAAAATTTTCCAGAAATAGTTCAAAGACATGAATCTTCAACCAGCAAGCCTGAGTCTCAAGCAGGATTTGAAAAACAAACAAAATTCTTCACCTTCCACAACACAGTGAAACTACAGAATGCCAAAAACGAAAACAAAATTTGAAAGGTAGCTATAAAGACTAATCTCTGGAAAAGAGAAGACAACTTGATCTCCCAATAGCTGCAATGAAAATTCAACGACACTGGAGTGAATTCTTCAATACATAAAAAGAAAAGAACTGCCAATCCAAAACAGCCTACCAAGTTAGGCTATAATTAAATCACGAGGGCAAAATAAGTACATTTCAGACTCCCCCAAAATAGAGTTTACCTTCAAAAAACTTCATTAAAAGAAATTCCAAAGGATGTATGGGAGGTTTTTCAGGCAGAAAATTGTCTCAAGAAGAGGTATGAGTTGGTAAAAGATATGATAGGCAAAGATATTGTTGTAAGTATGGGTAACACTAAGTCAACATAAATAAGTATCTTAATTGTGATAGTTAATACTGAGGGTCAACTTGATTGGATTGAAGGATACAAAGCATTGATCCTGGCTGTGTCTGTGAGGGTGTTGCCAAAGGAGATTAACATTTCAGTCAGTGGGCTGCGAAAGGCAGAACCACCCTTAATCTGGGTGGGCACAATCTAATCAGCTGCCAGTGCAGCTAGAATATAAGCAGAAAAATGTAAAAACAGAGACTGGCCTAGCCCCCCACCCTACATATTTCTCCAGTGCTAGGTGCTTCCTGCCCTTGAACATCAAACTCCAAGTTCTTCAGTGTTGGAACTCAGACTGGCTTTCCTTGCTCCTCAGCCTGCAGAGGGCCTATTATTGGACCTTGTGATTGTGTGAGTTAATACTATTAAACTCCTCTTTTTAATTTATATGTATGTATTCTATTACTTCTGTCCCTCTAGAGAACTCTTACTAATACAGATTTTGGTACCAGGAGTTGTTCTAGAGGAACAGAATATTAAGGATGGAGTTCTTTCATTGGTTTTGGGGTTTCTGGAGTTGGCTGCTTAATATGATTAGACCCCAAAATGTTAAGGACTTTATTTCTAATAGTACAGAGAACACTGATAGTCCTTGGCATGAACTGTTTAGAGACTTATGCAAAATAGATGCATCTGACACTCCTGACTTGTTGCTTGTTGAAGGCAAGGAGTTTAATGACTCTATACATAACACCTTTGACCATAAGTGGAGAACCTAAGAACATAATGAAGCTGGTTGGTTGCTCTTAAGTTCAGTGAACAAAGTGATAAAGAAAATGATGAACTCAGGGACTCTATCTCCCAGAAGTAGATACTGAGCCTCAAATCTGCTAAGATTGTCCTGAGTGAAAGTCTTATCTCCTGCAGAGAAAGAGCTGAAATTGTCGAAAAATAGAGACAAATCCTTATCATATGAGTGGCTGACCTGCAATGAAAGGTGCATGCACAGCCTCAACAGGTATCTACTGTTAAAGTGAGGACATCAACTGGAAAAGAATGAGACCCTGCAACTTGGAATGGGGATGTGTGGGAAGACCCTGATGAAGCTGGATTCATCACTGAGTTTGTAAACTGTGGTGAACCTTTTTTGCCATAAGAAACAGCTTCCCCATCCCCAGTAGTGGCAACATCCCTTCCGGGACCCATGCTGCCATCAGTCCTTTCACCCTTGTCTGAGGAGATAAACCCTGTGCTGCCTGAGGCAACAGCGATGGCCTCCCTTGAGGCACTTTCCAGGCAACAGAATGCTGATTCTCCTCAGGGGTCACCCCCAACACCTCTGTTTGTTTCTAGACCTATAACTAAAGTCCTGGTGGGCCTGTAGAGGTGAGGTTGAGAGTGTGACCCATCAGGAGTTATGCTATGGAAACTGGTTGAGTTTTCCAATTTATATAAACAGAAATCTGGAGAACAGGCATGGGAATGGATATTAAGGGTGTGGGATAATGATGGAAGGAACAAAGAGTTGGCTCAGACTGAATTTATTGAGTTAAGCCCACTAAGTAGGGACTCTGCATTTAATGTTGCAGCTTGGCGAGTTAAAAAAGGTTCCAATAGTTTATTCACTCCATTAGCTGAAATATGGGTTAAAAGATGGCCCACTGTGAGTGAGCTGGAAATGCCTGATCTCCTTGGGTTTAATGTAGAAGAAGGGCTCCAAAGGCTTAGGGAGATTGGGATGGTGGAATGGATTAGTCACTTTAGACCTACTCATCTCAGCTGGGAGGGTCTAGAAGATATATCCTTGACCAGTGCCTTGCAAAACAGATTTGGGAGGGCAGCACCTACATCTTTGAAGAACACTGTAATTACTCTTCTCCGTATGTCAGATCTAACAGTGGGAACCTCAGTCACTCAACTACAAAATTTAAATACAATGGGAATAATTGGATCCAGAGGCAGTAGGGCCAAGTGATGGCATTCAATCATCAAAGGCAAGGTAGGTGTAGCTACCATAATCGACAGCAGAGGCAAAGTGGCAATCAGAATAGTCTGACTCGTGTAGAACTCTGGCATTGGCTAATTAATCACGGCGTTCCTGGAAGTGAAATGGTAAGAAGCCTACTGCATTCCTACTTAATTTATACAGGCAGAAAACTTCTAGGTCTCATGGACAGAAGACTAATTTTAATTATTAAATCAGAGAATCACAGCCCCTCAATTTCCAGACTTGAGCCTGTTTCAGACCCAGAACCCCAATATTTGACCTACAGCATGACATGCATTGTTTAATTTAAAATCAGCATCTGCTATACCTAGCATTACCAGTAAATGAAAAATGTTAAAAAAACATAAATAAATGAAGAAATGAAGAAATAAAAATA